AGCTCCATCCATGTTGCTGCAAATTGCATGCCTTCATCCTTTTTTTTTTTTTTTTACAGATTGGTTTATTTGTTTATACAAGCACCGGGTTCATTCAGAAGCGCGGGAGGGTGAGAGAATTCACCAGAGCCAGAGCGGGGAACAGAATAGGCAGAGTGACGAAGTACACTGAGGGGAGCAGCGGGCTGCAGGAGAGGCGGTCTGCACGCCATGTGGGATGCTCGAAGGGCGGCCTGGGATCAAACTGGCACTGCAGAGGCTGCCAGCAGCTTTGCAACCCAGTGCTCAACTGCTGCGCCACCGGGGAGGCCCCAAGTGATTATCTTTTTTGAATGCTGAGTAATATTCCATTGTGTATATGTACCACCTCTTCTTGATCCAGTCATCTATTTTTGTGCTTTTGGGTTGTTTCCAAAGCTTAGCTATTTTAAATAGTGCTGCTATAAACATAGGGGTGCAGGTGCTCTTTGGAATTCATGTTTCTGTGTACTTTGGGTAAATACCTAGGCATGGAATTGCTGGATCCTATGGAAGCTCTATCTTTAGTAGATTGAGGAATCTCCACACAGCTTTCCACAGTGCACAACCACCATCTTTTGGAAGCAATGATATAGATTGAAAATAGTTATAGGGCCTCCCCTGGTGGTGCAGCAGTTGAGCGCTGGGCTGCGAAGCTGCCCGCAGCCTCTGCAGCACCAGTTCGATCCCCGCCCACAAGCGAGGGTCCCACATGGTGTGGCAGACCTCTCCTGTCTCACCCGCTGCTCCCCTCAGCAGTGTATTTCGTCAGTCGGCCTGTTCTGATCCCCGCTCTGGCTCTGGTGAATTCGCTCACCCTCCATCACTTCTGACTGTACCCAGTGCTTGTATAAATAAATAAATAAAACCTTTAAAAAATAGTTATAACTTAAGTTCTAGGAATAGAAAGTGATAGTTGACTTAAAAAGTAATCTTGATGAAGGAAGTAATGAAGGAAAATATTACTAATTTTGCCCCCCTTCAATTTTAACTTTTACAAAAAATATGCAACATCAAAATATAAACAAAGGAAAAGTTTCTACCACACATGATTGAACATGGGGCTTCTCCTTATTTTAGGAAGAGCTCGTCCTATTAGTAAGGAAGAGGTAAATAATTCTATTGAAAAATAGATTATCAACAGTTAAATGACAATAAAAATGCAAATAGATATCAAATATGGGACTGCTCTCTCAGTTACATTCATAAAGAAATACAAATCAAAATGATGGTGCAGTGTAAATGATCATCTGTGTAATTGACACCAAATAAATGGACACCCTCTAATATTTGTGAGGTTTGCCTGGAGGTCTTATGGGAAGGTAAATTTGCGCAACATTTTGGTGCACAATACCTGTCAAGATGTAAAATGCATTTCCTTTGCCAGTTAATTTTATCTTATGGATATATTTTTAAGTACATTATATCTCTCTCTCTATCCTCTATCTGTATCAATATTTGTGTCATCCATCTAATCTTACCTATTTCTGTGCCTAAGGATATTTATAGCAGCGTTGCTTCTAAGGCAAAAAAAAAAAAAAAAAAGGTGGGGGGGAGAGCTAAGTAAAACTCCACTGTCCATAAATAAGAGACTAGATAAATTAAAGTGTATACATATTATGGAATATTTTGCGGTTATTAACAGAATGAGATAGATCAATACATGCTGACATGGCAACTTCTGCAAGTCATAGCACTACTAAGTAAAAAGCAAGATTCAAAGCCACATACACGGACACAGAAACACAGATATGGGTATATATGTGTATGCATGTGTGCTATGGATTTCTGTGTGTATATGTGTACATTGATAATATTTCATGAGCATATGAATTTGAAGATGTGTGGAATCATCTCTGTATATCAGAAGGAAGTTTAAGGGGAAAGTGTCTGAAGGGAATGGAGTTTGTTTGGGGGTCATGGTGCCCTTCGTTCTGACTCAGTCCTTAGCTCCAGGAGATCTGTGATTGGGGAGGTAGGTCCTTTTGGGCTGTGAGGTTGGTTTCAGTTGACATGAAACTGAAGCACACATTACAGTATATTACATGTTACAGCATAGCCTTTTTATAAGACACCAATTCAAGGGCTTCATTTTAACTTTGGGGAGTATCTACACCTGACAAAGCAAACCACACATACCCAGGTGAGTTTCATTGTCAAAACCATTGAAACTGGGGCCTCCCCAGTGGTACAGTGGGTTGAACGCAGTGCTATGAAGCTGTCTGCAGCCTCTGCAGCACGGTTTCGATTCCCGGCTGGCCAGGGAGATACCCACATGGCGTGGCAGACCTCTCCTGCCTCGCCCGCTGCCCCCCTCAGCAGTGTTTTCAGTCCGACTGCCTGTTCTGTGCCCTGCTCTGTCTCTGGTGAATCTGCTCCTCCTGCACCTCTAAATAAATCTTTTAAAAAAAAAAAAACCATTGAAACTGGCTTGGATCCATCTGGTAGCAAGGTGGTGAAAATAGGTCCACACCTTGCTACCCACTGCTTAACTGAGCACCTCTACTTTTAGACTTTGTGGGGAGGGATATCATTCTGCACCTTTGTCTCTTGGTTTCTGACGTGCGTCTCCTGTCTTGGCTTCTTGGGCCAGATACACAGAAGGAAGCCTCCACAACCTGGGCCTTGTAGAACATGGTTCCTGAGATTTTACCAGCAATGCCTAAGCATCCAAAGAGCATGTCCACAGGGCATTCCACAAAGAGGATTTGGGAGACATTACTGCCTTGAAAAAATTAAGTTTGCAGAAGCATATTATTTAGTTTTGTCCAGTTTCCCTAAAATTCTCCAAAGAAAGTGCTTATCTTCACTCTAGAATGGCAAGGAACATTTTTTTCCCCAAGAAGTAAAACAGGAATAAGACAAAAAAATCTGGTGTCTGTTACTTTTATAATAGATGGAAAATGGGTTATCTTTGTTTTATGCTGACCCACAGAATGACAAAAACCAAGATTTTATGTTTTTTATATGAAAGTTTCGATTGCTGAAAAAAGTTTTAAAACTATTACACTGTCGTAAGTCATAAAGCTATGATTTAGTTATAAAGTAAATTCATCTTTTTTTCCATCCTTCCTTCCTCCCTCTCTCCCTCCTGCCTCTTCTTTGCTTGTCTCTTCTCCTTCCCTCCTACTCTTCACTTGCCTTTCACTTGTTTGAGGACACATCATACATCTTCTCCACATGGAAGACTGCCTGGGCGTTTCCCTCTCTTCCTTCCTGAGGGAACCCCAATTACGCTGAATAATACATTAACTCTAGGGAACATTTCACGATTGGCTCCAAGTGCAGGAGTCCATGCCCTTACCAGAGGTGGGTCGAGGAGAAAAGGTATAACCCAGTGTTGTCCAGTGTGCGTAAAAGGAATTTTGCTGGTGCTACTTGGAAATATTCCCCTTCTTGGTAGGGAAGAAAGGTGTAAGAAGAGGCTTTTTGCTTCTCTCTTCCTTTTGTGACTATTGGGCTGTCCCATGATGCCTCCAACTGGGTCAACCGTCCTGCCACATCCCAGGGTGCTCCCTTGGCCTAGAGCCAATGATAGCAGAGTAGAGGGACAGAAAGAACGTGGGACTGGAACAGTCCCAGCCTTCTCGAGCATTCCTAAGTAAACTAGAATTTTCCTAATGGTTGAAGTCAGGTTTTTCTGTGACTTGTAGCCACAAAAGCATTTCCCTGTACACCTGGGCTCTAAAATCAAGTGGAAGGCTCTATTACATTAAATAGAAAAGTAATTGTGTTAATTATGATGACAGAAATATGATCAAAGAGCTTTGACTCCACCCAAGACTGATAGTAGCACTGTTGGAAGGGGCTGGGGAGAGTGCCCCATTCTGTCTCCCGGGAGGAGGGGTGGGTTTGGTGAGTCATCTGTGGTCACTGCTAAATAATCCTGAGCAAGTTTTTAATTTTTTGAAGATTTATTTATTTATGCCTACAAGAACTGGGGTACAGGCCAGAGTTCTGGGGGGTGAGAAGATTCACCAGAGATAGAGCCGGGACCGGAACAGGCAGATTGACGGAAACACACTGCTGAGGGGAGCAGCGGGGAGACAGGAGAGGTCTGCTGCGCCATGTGGGTAGCTCCCTGGCCAGCTGGACATCGAACTCGTGCTGCAGAGGCGACTGATGGCTTCATAGCTTGCATCTTAACCCCTTGTGCCACCAGGGAGGCCCTGAGCAAGTTTTTAAATCCAAGTAGACCCGTTTTGCCGTTTTAGTGGCTTCCTGGAGTTTTCGTTGATATAGTTTTGGAGAAGACAGGGCTATTTACCTCTGTTTGAGTTTGATTTTCCAACTTGTCCGCCATCAGCAGGCCTGCACAGGGGGCGTGGCCGCCCCCACCTACCGCACCTGTGCCGCCCCTCCCCGACCATGCATCCGCGCAGTGCAGTCGCGGCTGCTTTGTCCCTCTAGCTTCCGCGACTTTGGGGTGGCGTTGGGGCTGCTGGGACCTGGTCTCTCTAGACCCAGCCGGGAGTCGTCATCTGTGCATTTATCTGGGGCCCCCTCAGGCTGGCCGAGGAGGTGAGCCAAGGGCGAGGGGAGCTGAGGACACCTCCCTGAGGTTGGCTGACCGCGGAGGGCAGTGGAGGACCCAGGGCGGGAGGGCTGGATGTGGAGAACTGGGGGGCATTTGGGGTTCGTACTGGGCCTGGAGGAATAGAGGGGTCCAGGCTCCTTCCTGAGCGTGACCTCCGTGTCCGCCTCCAGGGGCTGAAGCGCGGCTTCTTGCGCCACCCCCGACCCCCACCCCTCCGGGCGCTTCTGCACCGCTGCCCTGGGTGTGTTTATCACAGCGAGTTTACATGGAGTTTGGGGAGCAGGGAGCGTTTTCTGGGCCTGACCACCCCCTCCCGCCCGGGTCTAGCCGGCTGGAGGCAAAGCTACCCCAGAGGCCAGGTCTGAGCAGCTATCCCCCACTTCTCACCCCTCTGTGGCCCTGGAGGCGGGGGAGAGGATGTGAGGAGGGCGCTCAGCCTTTGCATCTCTCCAGGAGTCCTTCAGAAGGAAGAAGATCCTCCTGCATCAGCGTCCATTTAGGCTGGGCCGGTTGGAATGGAAGCCCCTGCCCAGGACAAGCACATCCTTAATGTCCGCGACTCTTTCCGGAGAAGCTGAATTCAGATTTGTTGTTTGGCGTTGTTCGCCCAGAATAACCCTGACCGCTTCCTGGGTTCGGATCCTCACTTTCGTTATCTACGAAATTACCTCCAGTGGAGACTTTGTGTTTGGTTCACAGTTTGAGTCAGGGAGCAAGACGCCTCCAGCTTCACTCTGGGGAGTCAGCGCTTCTGGGCCTCTGCGCCCCCCACCCCAGAGCTACAGGAAGGTTAGTTTCTGGGAAAGCTGCCGTGGGAATTGTGATGAGGCTGCGCTGACCCTGTGGTTTGCTCTGGGAAGTCTGCACATTTCATACTATTACCAATTCCCATCACAGCACAGAGTATCTTTCCATTTATCTCTGCTTTTCATTTCTTTTACCGGCATTTTCTAGTTTTTCAGTGCACAGGTTTTTCTTCATTAACTGTTTCCCCAGGTATTTCATTCTGTTTTGATGCAATTGTACAATTTTCCTATGGATGCTTTCTGATGGGTCTTAATGAGGGTGTAGATACACAACTGAGTTTTGTGTCTATACTGATTGTGTGTTCTGTCACCTTACTGGGTTCATCTTTTCTAACCGTTTGCCTTTTTTGGTGGCGTGATGCTTCCTGGCCGGGTATTGCACTCAGGCCACAGTGGCCTCCGACAGCTTCATAGCACGGAGAGACGAATCCCTGGGCCCCCAGTAAGGACAGAGTCTTCCTTTGTGGGCTGCTGCTTGTTGCGAGCCAGCCGCAGCAGTCTGGGTGTCAGGGGTTCCTGAAGGATGGGAAGGCATCGGCAATTGTAGAGAAATGGTAAGGGAGGGGGAAGGGGGAATGAGGACTCAAACACTCAGTCAGGGTGCAGGCATCATCCTGCTGAGGGTCTCAGCAGTCCTTTATTTATACTAAAGCAAATCGTGAGTGCACAAACATAAGGTAGGAAGATAATAATCATCACATGCTCTTTTTCAGGAGCAGCCAAGGGTCTGTTGGCAGAGGTGTAACATTTATTATTCTTTGTCTTAAAGAAGGCACAGTTGCTAAACAAATGTTTTCAAAATAGTTATTTACTTTAAACAATCCAACAGTTATTGTATTACTAGCAAAAAAGCCTATGTGTCTGCAACTAACATTTTTAAGTTTGCCTTGGTGAACAATTAACTAAGGGCTGAGGGAAACAAAGGGCAGGAAGTTACCTGCAGGGAGGGAGACAAAGAGATTATTTCTAACTAACCTATAAAGTTTAGGCTAACATATAACTAATTGATTAAAGGAAAAAACAGAAGGCTTTTATATAGAAATCATCATCTATAGCATATTGTTTTAATATTGATTTGATATTAAGGAACCAAGGGCCTGGAGGGCATTAATGCCAGGCAAGCCGCACTGACTCTTCCCTAGCCCCTAACTCTCAATTAAGGGAGTGGCTCATGGCGGCCCAGGGAGTGGCTCATGGCAGAGGCCTGCTTAGCAGGCTCTGTGTCAGGGCTGCGTCCTGCGCTGTGCAGTCACTCACACTCCTTCTGATATGTTCATGTGACTGTCAATATTAAGACAATGGAAGGGCCTCCCTCTGGTGCCAGGGGCAATCTGCAGCCTCAGCAGCACAAGTTCCATCCCCAGGCCCGCCAGGGAGGTTATCCACATGGCGCTGCAGACCTTTCCTGAACCGCCCACTGTTTCCCTCAGCAGTGCATTTCAGTCAATCTGCCTGTTCTGTTCCTCACTTTGTCTTGGGTGAATCCTCTCATCCCCACACCTCTAGCCTGCACCCCAGCTCTTGGATGTATAAATAAATCTTAAAAAAATATATCTCCACCCCACACAGGGCCCTACAGGACACACAGATGCTGGGACTCAAAAGTGCAAATGCTTCCCACAGCCCCTGCCCTCCACTTCCCACTGCCATGTCCTCCACGAGGGTGTCATCAGCTCTGTCTCCAAGGCGAGTCCGAATCTGTCCACTGAGCTGCATCCTCGCCACCACCTCCTTGCAGGCGTGTCCTTTCTTACCTGGCTTGTTGCAGCAGCCTCCTAACAGATCTTATTTTATCTGTACCTCCTTCTAGAACATTCCGGACACAACATTCCTGGAGGCTCCTGCTGGCTCCACACCGTGCTGACCTGGCAGGTCCAGGTATGGAGACGCCTGTCAACAAAGGGGTTTGGGTCCTACAGTACGACCGCGCACCCCAAAGCGCTGGTCTCAGGCTCTCACTTTCTTGGCGCTTGTCCCCCAGGCAGGACAGGGATATCCTTTAGGCCTCATTCCCTTCTCCTTACGCGGCATCTGCCCTTGGGCTGTTGGGGCTCCCCAAGATGTCCACAGGGGCCGTGCGCATGGACCCTGCTGGTCAGTCAGTTGTGCTGCTTGTCTGAGTCACTGGGATGGCTAAAGTATTTATCCATTTGCAAAAAAAAAAGTCTGGAAGGGCTAAACACAAGGCTGGGACTTAGGCGGCGGCGGCACAGGAACGGGAGCACCTGGAGTGGGTAGGAGAGCCCAAGAAATCAGAGCTTGGCCTTGGCCAAGACCCCAGACCCGAGCCCTGGCGGGGGCGGCAGGCCCCCGTGAAAGCCCCCCGGGAGGGGGGAGGGACGGGGGCGCGGGAGGGAGCGCGCTCTGCACTTCAGGGTCACAAGGAAAAGGGGGGCTTTCCCTGCCATGGATGGCTTTGTGGGAATCAGGCCGAACTGGGAAATGCGAAGGGCGGTGACCTGTGCGTGTCAGGTCCCAGCTGTGCGGCTTTCGCTTTCCCAGCGCGGGCGTGATGGCTCCCGCCCCCATCAGGACTGGAAACTGAGGCACGGAGGGACGACAGGCCCCAGGCCCTGGGGAGGGCACAGTAGTAACAGTGGACGAAGCGGCCCGTGACCCGGAGGTCTGCACCCCCTTGCGGGCCCGCCTGTCACACCCCTGCTCCAGCCCTCCCCGCTGAGGTGCGGACCCCAGAGCCGCCCCGGGCGGCCACGAGGTCCAGCCCCTGCGGGCGTCCACGCTCGGTCCTGGCCCACGCCCCAGTGTGGCCCCAGCGCCCGCGCGCGCCGCGACCACAGCCCCCCAAACGGAGCCGCGGACCGGAAGGCCCCGCAGTCCCCGCGCCCGCTCCGCCCCAGAGGGCGCACGCTTCCCGGGACCCGGCGGGGACGCGCCCCCTCCCCTGCTGCCCCGGCCACCAGGGCTCTCCCACTCCAGCCAGCGCCTCCCCCGCGCCTGCGCACCTGCGGTGGCTGCGGCGCCGGCTCCACAGAACCCAGCCTGGGTCTGGCCGGGGAAGGGGAGTCTTCGTGGGGACCCGCTGTCGGCGGGAGGGGCCGGGACTGGGGCGGGGGACGCGGGGCCACGAAGCCAGTGGTGGGCAAGCCTAAGCCAGTGGTGGGAAAGCCGGACCCCTCTCTCCCCAGGGGGAGCCGAGCCCCACCCGCCCCCCAGCTGAGTCGCCTGGACAGGCTCAGTCAGGCCACACGGAGCTCAAGCGAGTTTCCAGCGCCCCGGGACTGGGGGGCGAGGCCTTCTGGGCGGAGAGCAGAACACCGAGTTGAGAGGACGGAACTGGGCAGCCTTGGGGGTCGTGTGGGGGGGGGGCAGCGACAGGTGGAGCTCCCCCTGGAAGGGCCAGAAGCAGAGATGAAAGTACGTTGCGGGAGCTTTTGGAGTGGGGTGGAGGGATTTTGGGCTACTAGAGCTCCGTAAATGGCAAGAGGCCCATGCCATCCGCGGGGAGAGGCAGGAGCCAGATGGAGCTCAGGAGAGGGTTGGGTGGACACACCTGGGGTCAGACCGGCCTCTAGCCCCGCGACCCTTGCTAGTGGGAAACACGCGGAGGAGCCGCCTCTCAGGGACACTCTCTCCTTCCCTCTGTCAGGGCGCCATCGATAGGGTGACCTTTGGCCCCCCTAGGCGGCGTGGGTGTGGCAGGACCATGTGACCGTGCCCTGTGCCGCACACCCTGGACACGGCTTGTGTATTTATCTGTCACCCGGTCGCATCCTCCTGGCATCGCAACAGCTAGGCAAGTGCCAGGCCGAGCCATCCCTGGGCCTAATCATCGTCCTGCAAGCAGGGGAGCCCCCTCCCAAGCCGTTGTCACCCCCTCTTCTGTCTCAAGGCTTCCTGGAGTGGCCCAGAGCACCCCAGCAGACGGCCATCGTCCTGGTGGTGTGTGTGCTCTCCCTGTTCTGGTGTTGACCGGGATGCCCTTGGCGCTTTTCTTCTCACCATGGTGCCACTGCCGCCAAGAGTTCTGCGCGTCGGGGAGGAAGTGACCGGGCTAGCAGCAGGACAGGCCACTGAGGCTGACCAAGTGTCCTCTCAACACCGGGGACATTACTTTTGTTGTGTTTAACCTTTTGGGGAGGCTTTGCACCCGTGTCCCTGAAGGAAGTCATCCTAGATGCAAATGTTTTCTATCCCACTGGGAGGGGGGTAGGGATTTCCCCCCCCCCCCCCCCCCCCCCCCCCCCCAGCTGGAGGTGCAGCTGGACTTCACAGAAGGTAGACAGAGGTAGCTCTGGGGGTGGACAGTGCTAGTAGCTTCCTGACCTGTGTCCTTGGGGCGTAGAATATTTCTCCAGATACTGAACCCTCATCTTGTTTCTGGAGGAGTCTCTTGTCTGTTGAATTCAGGGTCATGTGAGGACTCACTCACCCTTTTATCTGCTTGTAAAGAGTCAGTTCCTTGACATTTGGAAAGAGGCCTCCATTTGAGGGATCATGTCCTGGAGCCAGGGAGGGCTGACTCTTGGCTGCCGTGTATCTGTTGCTTTTTATTCATCCTCATGATGGATTTTGTTGCTAGAAAATCCTCCCACTCAGCCGTTGCCATGTTTGCCTTCATTTTACCATGTTATCCTTACCTTTTTGGTCGATTTGTAAGTGTTGAATTAGTTGACTCTGGCTTCTCCAAAGAAACAGCATCAGGATGGATTTATATCCATTTCCCTCCAGCTTTGGGATGTTTCCCATTATTAGCTCTTGGTTTTGAAAAAATGTGTTTCTACTCCTCGTGTCAATGTGGAGGTTGAATCCTTTGTGTTCTCTGACTACAGATTATCCAGTAGTAGAACCAGCCTCGGCAGCTTCCTGAAGTTGGATGCCCCGTGTTTTTTATGTCACACCGTCCTGTTTCTAACTCATAATGGCTGGACTGACTCAAAAGGTCATTTTCTTGATTTCTGGCTCTGTGGGAATGTGGCCTCTCCACTGCTTTCCCAAGCTTTCTGGAAGCCTTGGCTGCGGCCTGCCTGGATCACGACCTGTGTGTGTATGTGTGAGTGAGCGTGTGTGTGTGTCGTGGACATTTGAGGGTGATTTTCCATTTGTAGAATCTCAAAGTTGGCTTATGACACTGCGCACGCCTTATTTTGGCCCGCCTCTGTCCCAAGCCCATGAAGGTTATGGGGAAAACCTGCAAGGATGAGTCTATTTTTCTAATTTTTGCTCTCTGAGCTCAGCAGCTGTGACTGGACATGGAAATAGAGCGTCGCTCTGCCGAGAATATGGGATTCACGCAAGAAATCCCAAATAAATGGTGAAAGTGAGACCCTTCATGTCACTTGACTAGGATTCCGAGGCCTTTTAATGCTATGCTAGAGAAATGAAGACATGCAGGTTTGAAATGGGGGGGGGGTTTCTCCCCATCGTGCTCCTGGGGTGCAGTCACTCCAACAAAAAGGGGCATCTAAAGGGAAAGGACACAAATCTGAATAGGGTCACTGTATCCGTGTGGCATAGCATCCTGTCCCACCCCACCCCGCCCCTTCCCGTCCTGTCTTGGCGTCCTGCCCCCATGTCCTGTAGCTCCCCACCGCACCCTGCCCCGCCCTGTCGCATCGCATCCCGTCCCCGTTGAACCCCTGCCATGCCCCTTTGCGCCCCACCCCGCCCCGTCTGGCCATGCTCCGCAGTGTCGCTTCCTGTGGAACCCTGCCATGCCCGGTGCCCCGTTATGCTCTACTCCATCTACAGCACTACCTGGTGGCGGACAGGAACAGTCCATCTGGTCAACCCACCTGAATGCCTGCGGGCCCCGGGCCTGCCAACTGTCGACCTCAGCAGGGCCCAGCAGCAGCCGCGGCCCCCTCCCCATTGGCAACCCAGGAACCGACACACCTGGCCACCTGCACCCCAGATTCGGGCCGCCCCCACCCCACTCCCTCAGAGGTGTCTCCTGCCATCCAGGAAGGGGCAAAGCACCCTGGAGCTGCAGCAGGAGGATGGGGGTGTTCCTAGCGAGCAGCCCCTGCCAGCGGGCAAGTGTGCTGCGGGCCTGACTGAAGACAAGCACTCGCACACTGGGGTGGATCCTTGTTTCCTCATGGGCACCTGGGCACAGGCTCCCCTCACACTGAGCAGGGTTACCCACCCCCCACCCCCAGCTTCAGGGGCTCCAGGGTTTAACAGCCAACTCACAAGAGTGGTGTGTGTCCCAGCGTAGACCTCAGGCACTGCCTGCAGGTCCAGAGCACTCCAGGCACACACGCACCTTGGCCATAACACAGACAAGCCCAGGGCCCTCCTCCTGCCAAGTGTGGTGGGGCACCTCACCAACAGGGGGTACAGCCACAGCCCCCTGGTAGCATAGGCACAGGCAGCAACCCCCAACCGCAGGTTGCTCTTTGGAGTGAGGCATCAGGACAGGGGGAACCTAGGGAGTCAGGCCCCCTCAACAGGAACACATGAGGGGAACAGGCCCCAAGCCACTGGGGCAATGCCACAGAGGCCACAGGCAGGAGCTAAGAGACATGGAAGCCCCCCCTCCAACCCCAGATAGCCCAAGCCCCCATCTCTTCCCAGCCCTGCTACACCACAGTCACAGCCCAGGGAACAGCCCCCCACACCATGGGCTTGGGTATGAGGCCTGGCCTCACCACAGCTTGGGGCTCAGGGGAGCCAGTTCTGCACCTGCATTTGTGCTTGAGAACACCATGTAGCCCCACAGGGGCCACCGCAGACAGCACACCCTCTTAAGAGGGGTGGTGGTATGGGCTGCAGCTCAGGCCCCAGCAGCTTAGGACAACACGAGGCCCCTTTGCTCGATTCCAGGCAGGAGCCCACGGCTCACTTAGTATAGACCAGGCCCCCCACATGTGGCACAGTGTAAGCACAACCCACTGTACCCGCAACCAGGTCTTGGG